GAGTATGTTTTCATGCCCATCTCTACCCCAGGTTCTCACCAAAGGTAACTACAGTTGACCCTTTAACAACATGGGTTTGAACTGCCCAGGTTCACTTATATGCAGATATTTTTCAATAAATATACTGGAAAACTTTTTTGAGATTTGTGACAATTTGAAAAAAACTCGTAGATGAACCATGTAGGTTAGAAATATTGAAAAAATTAATAAAAAGGTATGCCATGAATACATAAAATACATATGATACTAGCCTATCCTTACATAGGCATAAGGTGAGTGATATTTAACACAGAATTAATAATGTGTTAGTTTTCCTGTTTTATAACTTTTTTTTTTTTGTGGTACGCAGGCCTCTCACTGCTGTGGCCTCTCCCGTTGCAGAGCACAAGCTCTGGACGCGCAGGCTCAGCGGCCATGGCCCACGGGCCTAGCCGCTCCGTGGCATGTGGGATCTTCCCGGATCGGGGCACGAACCCGTGTCCCCTGCAACGGCGGGCGGACTCTCAACCACTGCGCCACCAGGGAAGCCCTATAACTTTGTTTTCAAAGAATTACATTACCTTATAGGTACAGTATGCCCCCCTCTGTCTCTCCCTCCCTTATAATTTATGCTTCAGCAATTTTGAACTATTTACAGTTCAATAAATATCTCAGTGCAGTGAGTTCCTCTACTCTTACTGTCTTTTCTGTCTATACAACATCCCCTTCCCTCCACCGTCCATACCCCAACCTCTGTAAATCCCATTAAGCCAGTGTTTCTTAACCGTGGCATAAATGACATCATGAGCTGGATAATTCTCTGTTTGGAGGCTGTCCTGTTCACTGCGAGATGTTTAGCAGCATCCCTGGCCTCTACTCACTAGATGCCAGTAGCACTCCCCCTAGTTGTGACCCAAAATGTCTTCAGACAGTGCCAAATGAATGCATAAAATATACGTAGATTATATACTAGTGTATCCTTACATTTGCAACTGGGTGACTGAAGTAACTAGAGAAGGAAGAAAAAAGCTTACTTTTCACTACAATCCTTTGTGTTTTAAATTTCGTACCTCTTCTAACCTTTCCACCGCTACCACCCTAATCCAAGCCACCTTTCCCCCTTCCTCTTACTCTCCCACTTCTTCTCTCCCAACTACTGCAACAGCCTCCTAATCAACTTTTCTCTTTTTTCATCCTTGGCTTCTTCAATCCATTTTTACCCGTCCTTTTAAAAGTTAAATCAGATCATGTCACTCATTTGCTCAAAACCCTCCAGTGTCTTCCCAATGTCACTCAGAGACAAAACCAAAACCTTAAGATGAACCTCACACAGTATGCAATCCTACCCTCCACACTCCTCTCTTGCTGATCTCTCCTTCTAGTATTTGGTTTTTGTAGGTCAAAAAGGAACAAATAGCAATTTCAAAAACTGAACCTATTACTATCTGTTCCCTTGCTGTGTTCTAACTTTGGACTCTTTGCTGTTCTTCAAACACATGAGGGTCCTTACACTTGCTGTTCTCTATTGGGAACACAACTCACCCAGATACTCACATGGCTCACTCCCCAACTCCTTCAGGTCTTTACTTCTCAGGGGGTCTTCCCTGGCCACCCTATTCCTACTCACAGCACCTATTAACATCTAATATATTACATATTTTACTTACTCATCTTGTCTATTGTCTCTTTTCTCCATCTTGATCGGTGGTTCTCAAACCTGAGTCTACATCACCTGAAAGGCTTGTTAAAAGAGTTTCCGAATCAAGAAGTCTGGGGAATAGAGCCTGAAAATTTGCATTCCTGACAAGTTCCCAGATGATGCTGAGGTTCCAGGGACCACATTTTGAGAACCAATGTTTTAGAATGTAAGCTCCGTGAGAACAGAGATTTTTGTTCACCTATTCACTGCTTTACCTCTATGACCGGGCACATGGTAGGCAGTGAGATAGGTAAATGAATTTATTCTGTTCCCAAGGCACCCTCTGATTTGGTCTGCTATATGGTGCTAAAATTTTACTGAATACTGTAAAAGATAAATTACATGACTGTAATGAGTTAACCTGTGTCTCCCCAAAAGATGGGTTGAAGTCCTAATCCCAGGAGCTATGGATGTGATTGTATTTGGAAATAAGGCATTTGGAGAGGTAATCAAATTAAGATTAGGTCAGCAGGGTGGCCCCTAATTCAATATGACTGAAGTGCTTACAAAAAGGGGAGAACACCATACTAAGACAGAGACACACAGGGAGAATGCCATGTGACAACAGAGGCAGAGACTGGTGTGATATAACTTCAAGCCAAGGAACGCCAGTGACACATGAAGCTAAGAGGCACGGAACAGATTCTTCCCTAGAAGGTAGAGCATGGCCCTGTCAACATCTTGGTTTCAGACTTCCAACCTCCAAAACTGTGAAACAATAAATTTCCGTTGTTTTAAATCACTCAGTTTGCTGTATTTTGTTATAGCAGCCCTAGGAAACTAACACAACGACCAAAAATGCAAATGACTACACCAAGCTGTATAATTTCAAGCCTCCCTATTATCCAACTTGCACCAATTTGTTTTAATATATAGCTTTCATTGTGAACTAATCAGACTTCCTGTTCAGAATCTCCCCAATTTAATACCGCCTCTCTCTGCCCTCCATGTGTCCCTTCAATGTGCAAGGCAGCTCACACTACAGGTTCTAGATAATGTACTCAGATTTTCTTTTTGGTTTCTCCTACCTTCCTATGGGCTACCCTATTTCACATACAACAGCTTCTTTATATTTTTTTCTTCAAGGGACACTTCTTATTTTCACATATTATAGATTTTGGCATGTATTTTCCCATAGGACATCTGAATTAGTTATAAACTGAAAATTTAAATACACATTCGATACACATTTAGACTTCAAGATAAAATGCTAACTTCTCTTTTATGGAACAATGCTCCATTTTTTCCCCCTTATTCTAAAAAGAATGACCTTAATCTCACTTAGGTTTGGGTAAAAGAATTTTGCCATATTCTTTCCACCTTGCTGTGGTTTGTACACTAGCCTCTTTACTCAAATCTCAACAAATCTTCTAAAAGTAACATGGTTGTACTGGGAAGCTTAAAATTTTAAGTGAATCTGAATGAAATTTCAGCATCAAGTTGTCCATTTTCTGTTTGTTTACAGGTGCACTGTCACAAGAATTCCAATCAATGATTTCTTCACACAGAAACTCTAAATTACCATAGTTTATAAAGTAAGCTGTATAATGCAATTTTTATCTTAGTGAGCACAAGTCAATATACAAATAGTATATAGCGTATATCTAAATGACACACTTTTCTATTTCTATGACTAGGTGATCTTTAATTGATATGTACTCCTAAATGACTTTGTGATAAAATTCTAATAATTTCTGGATACTGAATTTACTCAGAAATATAGACTAGTATAATCTATACCCCAAAAAAACCACATTTAAGAAAAATACCTATCTTTAAATGGGTATTAACCACAAAATATTTTTAAAATGCTGAACCCTAACTAAAAAGATCAGAAAAACACAAACTCCAAGCAAATTTAAGAGAGACATCTAATTGTTCTCCACTAGTACTAAAATACCATACTCTTTTCCTGTGAAGAATTTTAAGTGAGTCATACTTTCCTTACTAAATCACTGTTTTACTTAACATATGGTAAAAAGAGTTAACTGTTTGGTAACGTGAAACTTTACACTCAATTAAACTGTACATTAGTATACACTACGGCTGGCAGAAAATAAAATAAGTATGATTACTATACACAATACTTAGAATACACAGCATCAAGTGACATTTATCTGATAAAAGTGTGGAATGTTGCAAAAAGTTAGTTTTACCTCCTAAAACCTCAGATTCCCACCGTCTAAACCAACACCAGAATGAAACAACTTGAAATTATGCACAACACCTTTTCCTGGCACCCAGGCAGAGCTATCACTGCCCAGTTTTTGGTAAATTAACATATTTCTGTTCGTTACACATTGGCCTAATTACTCTATTGCATTAAAGTTCTAACTTTATAATTAACTTTTAAAATCATAAGGAAACCAATTCATGGTTAGGATAATAGTTTTCAACCTGAAGCTCTTTAAAAGGATATACCACAATAACTATAAGGAATTGAGAGAACTAGATTATAAATCTAGTCAACTTTTCCAAAGCTTGTGATGTTTTGTCATTTGACAATAATAATAAATGGAGAGAGTAAGAGCTGGGCAAGAATAAATCCCCACCCCTAAATTTCGTTCATTTTTTTGCGTATACAATACATCCAAATTCAGAGCTGTAAAGCTAATTTGCCAGCACCTACGAATCCCATCACACTTGGTGGGGGAGGGAGGAAAGGAAAAAACTCCTTTCCTCGTCCTCCACGCAGCTAGTGCCCAAACACACCTGCCTCAGTAGAGGCAGGGAAATTTAAAAGAACAAATCGGCCACACACAAACCTGCTGGTCCAAGAGAGCCCTGAGGAAGTCCCCCGGCACTTGCGGAAGGCGCCCGCTCGGTGGGCGCTGGGGCGGCGCGGCAGCCCGGTTGCTCTCCTGGAAGATGTCCACACCTGAGAGCCCGCAGGTCCGCAGGGAGAGGGCCCAGCGGGGCACGACCGCTAAGTGCTCAAGCCGCGCGGTCCGGAGCGCAGCCCGTGTCTCACCGTCGCCACCCGACGGCAGGCGGCGCGCGAGGAGGCGAGGGGCACGAGAGGGTAAAAGGGAAGGACCCACGACCCAGAGAAGGCTACATGTCAACAAAATAGCGGCCCGGTGGGCAGGCGGCCCCAATGGCAGTTCGCAGAGACGCCGGGAGCAGGAAGTGCCCCGCGCCTCTCTCAGTAACCCGCACGTCCCCAGCCCCGGCGACGACTCTTAGACACCTGTTTGGCGGCGCCGGGGGTGGGGTTGCACCCTCCACGCTTCCCCACTCACACACTCACGCTCCGAGAGGGGGAGGGCGAGAGGAACCGAGACATTGGACACACAGTCTGAGGGCGCCTCCGCCGGCGTACCTGACATCAGCCTCGGCTCCCTCTCGCCCCTCCGGGGGGGCAGAGAGGGGGACGACACGAGCCCGGCGACCCTCGCTCTTCTCGGCAGCCGCAGAAGTGGCTCGTGGCTGCTAGCCTGGGCCGCCCGCTGCCGCCCAGATTATTCCCCGGCAGCGGTGGCTGCTGCGGCGACGGCAGCAGCCGAGGCGGGCCCAGCGCGCGCTCCCGCCCGTTCGCTCCGCCCCTCCCCGCAGCGCGTCCAGGCCGCGGCCCGCGGACAGCGCAGCCGCCACCCAGGGCTCTCCTAGCGCTGACGTCGCCGCCGCCGCACCCGCCCCAGGGAAGGGGAAGAGCTGGAGGGGGCAGGGTGGGGCGGGGCTACGACGTCGTATGGGCGCGGGGATTGGCAGCCGAGCGCACGCCCCGCCCTTGTGCGAAGGGGTCTGGGAAGTCGGGTCTTTGAACGATCGTCGCAGCTCTCTTGCGGCTCCTCGCTGGCGGCCTCCGGCTTCCTGATCTTGCTCTAGGGTTTTGCGTTAGCTTGCGGACCTTGAGAGGAGTTAAAAGCAGTGAGACATCAGGGACCGAGACTGCGGATACCTGAGGGACCTTTGTCTGAGGGACAGGCTCTTACCCTGCAGGAGTCTTATGGCCTCTAGCCTGCTCTTAAACAATTCTTTTTACCCCTGTTATGCCCCCCTCCCGACTCTCTTTACTCAGTATCTCTCTGGCCTTAATGAAAGGAAATACGGCAAGATAGGTACGCGAACTGTTGTTGCATAACCAGGTATGTGAACCCGCAGGGGCTGAAAACCCAATTAGTGATACCACAAAGCCTCTTGAAGGCTCACGTGGTCTTTGGTTCTGTCATTACTTCACTGCTGTCAGGCAATGGCCGGAAGAGCTTCCTCGGGTCCTTGCAAAACCTCACCCCGCTCCCACTTTAGTTGCAAAGGGACTTTGTATCAGAAAACTGTTTTGGATTAGAACGAGGAGTCCTGGAGCGATTGAGGCAACCCCACAGCAGTCAGGAGGTGGGGTAAGGTCTTGACTTTATTGGTATTAACCGTGGTTTACAAGACCTAGCCTGAGGGTGAGAAAGCTACCCTGCTTCCTTTAAATGCCCTCCTCATCAGTTCTTTAGTGCCTTGGCCTCTGGGCTGGAATCTTGGTTCCCTCCACCTATTAGTTGTGTAACCTTGGCAAGTTACTTAACATGTCCGGGAGAAATAATAACGTTAGTAAGGTGTTGTTGTTGTCCACCCCCCTTTAATTTGTTTACATTCAGCTTTAGTGTAGTTTAGCAGTATATGCGATTAATAAATCCGAAAGAATCTTCCAAAAGAGTTTTAAAACATCTAGATTTTGTTTTTGTTTGCGGTACGCGGGCCTCTCACTGTTGTGGCCTCTCCCGTTGCGGAGCACAGGCTCCGGACGCGCAGGCTCAGCGGCCATGGCTCACGGGCCCAGCCGTTCCGCTGTATGTGGGATCTTCCCGGACCGGGGCACGAACCTGTGTCCCCTGCATCGACAGGCAGACTCTCAACCACTGCGCCACCAGGGAAGCCCTAAAACATCTAGATTCTTATCCAAACCTCTCATTTTTTTCAGATGAGAAAGCTGAGGTCAGAAAGATAAACTGAGAAACCCGTTCTGGAAGAGAAGTGCAAGTATCTGATGTCCAGGTTAGTGCTCTTTCCTGGACCCATGCCTCCAGACTTCTCTCTTGGATCCTTACCTCCATCATTTTCTTTCTTTCCCAGCCTCACCCCCTTTCCTTCCACAGCCACTGTGAAACAGGGAAAAGAGACCCTTCAGAGGTCAAAGTGTTCCAACTAGAAAGCAAAATGAAACAAAACACCTCAGGATTCTTATTTTAATTTTATTAATATTTATAATGAACACGGAATAATATTTTTCCAGTGAGCAAAGATAAGAAATCCTTCCAAGGATAAGCTCAGATACAGCATGTCTAAGATAATTTTCTTAGTGGCAAGAAGGTATGTTGATACAAACAACACCAGATCAAATCAGCCCCTCCTACCCTTCTGGGTATTTTTGAAAATAGCTATTATTTTCATGAAAACAATACATACTTATTCAAATAAAAAAAATTTTGCAAATCCCATAATTCAGAGGTATCCATTTTTAAAATTCATGTTATACTCCTCCAGACATCTCTAAAAATAAAAAATACATAAAGATATATAAATACAGTGTATGATAAACTGGATTTCATTATGTACACAGTTCTTTTCTCACTGAACAATATATCATGAATAACATCATTTTTAAAAGTTGCATAATGTCCATTAAGTGGATGTACTATCATTTATCTAACCAGTATTCTATTGATTCATTTCTTTTTTTTTTCCAAATGTTTACTATTTTAAACAACTGTGATGAGCTTCTTAATGCATGTACCTTTGCACAACTGTGCAGCTGTCACCTTGAATAAATTCCTGGAAATGACATTCATGTTAGCCAATTTTTCTTCATGATCAACTAGAAAAAAGAAAGTGTGATTACTTAGAATATAATTTATATGTGAGACTCAGAATGACCAGATTCTTCCATTTGAAACACAGATAAACCTTGGACAGTATGTTTGTGTGTATGGTATGGTGTTTCAGTAATGTATGTCAAAGCTCCTTGGAGCAGAATAATGTGTGTCAAGGCTCCTTGGAGCAGGGTGATAGACACTGATAGTTGATTAAACCCTTTCTTTTTTGCTAGCAGAACTCTGATTTTTTTCAGGGTGACAGTGTGTGCAGTTAAAAATATTTACTTCCTCAGTCTCTAATAAGCCATGGTTTAGCCATGTGACCTGTCAGCAAAATGAAGGTAGATGTTTCTAGGAGAGGCTCAAAGTTTTATGGAAGAAATTTCCTGTTAGCCATTGGACCTATACCTGTCCTTTATCTTACCCGGAACAGTGACATGATGCTAGAGGTGGAGCAGCCTTATTTCAACCGCAAGAACAAGATAATAGCATAGGAAGCCAGAGGGGCCTGGGTTTATGATTGCTTTGGAGGGTAAGCTTACCCAGCTCTGGACTGCCCACTTCTGGATTTGTTGTTATGTGAGGGAAAATAAATTCCTCCTCTTTAAGGTCTTGTTGTTTGGGTTTTCCATTATAAGTCCTGAATGAAAGTCCTAATTGACATAAAAAGATAGGAAAAGTCATTATTTATTTAGCACTACATGTAGAATTTTTTAATAGGGTAAGATGAAAATGGGGCACAAAATGTAAACAAGCAACGACAAAAAAACACTCTCTAATAAACTTAGTTTTCCTTTAAATACCCAAATATTACAATTAGATTAACAAATCTTTTTGTAATAATTAGATTAAATTCTATAAATTAAATTATATTTACTGGTGTAGTAGTTTTCAAATATGTTCACAGGTTCTTTCATACTTCTTTCAAAAGTGAAGCTTAATTCCCCTCACCTAATGTTTGGACTGTACTTAGTGACTTGTTCTCATGAAGAGAATATAGAAATGCTGTAGTGTGACTTCTTAGAGGAGACTATAAAACATATGCCAGCTTTCTTCTTGCTCTCTCTCTGGGATCGCTCGCTGGGGAAAGGTAGTTATGTCAAAAGGACACTCAGCAACTTATAGAGTGACCCATGTTGTGAATAATGAAGGCTTCGGCCAGTTAGGAACTGAGGACTCCTGGAAACAGCCATGTGAATGAATTTGGAAGCAGATCCTCCAGCCCTAGTCAGATGACTGCATCCCTTGTCAGTATCTTTATTGTACCCAAAGAGAGTTTGTGAGCCAGAACCACTCAACTAAGCCACTCCCAAATTCCAGGCCCTCAGAAACTGTATAATAATAAATGTTTGTTGTTTCAAGCCACTACGTTTTGGGATAATTTGCTGTGCAGCAAAGGTAATGACTACAGCTGGGTATAACAGAGCCTACCTAGAACAGTGCCTGACACATTTGTAGGTATTATTTGTTGCTTGAATGAGTAAACCGTTGAATCAATATATCTTTTTCACTTAAAGGGTAACATACAATGCTGGTATTATTTTTGATCCCTGACACCTGTGTTATGTAAGGTTTTTCTGACGTGATCATAGGGAGATCAATTGTGAATCTTACTGAGATCTGAAAATTGACAATCCTGGAAGAAACATATAGTGAACAAAGCAATGGAACCCTTGAGACATGAATACTGCTCCCAGTTTTATCAGTGATTAGCTGAGTAGCAAGTCACCTAAGCCTTCTAAATCTCAATTTCACTATACGTAAATTGGGGGAAATAATCCTGACTGGCCTCAAAATGTAGTCAGTGTGATTATATGTGACAGTATCATTCTTTTAATTACATTAGGTTTGTAATGTCTATCCTACTTTTTTTTTTTAATTAGTCAATTTATTTTTGGCTGCGTTGGGTCTTCATTGCTGCGTGTGGGATTTCTCTAGTTACGATGAGCAGGGGCTACTCTTCCTTGTGGTGTGTGGGCTTCTCATTGCAATGGCTTCTCTTGTTGTGGAGCATGGGCTCTAGGCGCGTGGGCTTCAGTAGTTGTGGCATGTGGGCTCAGTAGTTGTGGCTTGCGGGCTCTAGAGCACAGGCTCAGTAGTTGTGGTGCATGGGCTTAGTTGCTCCACGGCATGTGGGATCTTCCCAGACCAGGGCTCGAACCTGTTTCCCCTGCATTGGCAGGTGGATTCTTAACCACTGTGCCACCAGGGAAGCCCTGTCCTTTTTTATTTTTAAGCAATTGAGTATTAAATACTTTAGGTGTATATAACATTGATTTTTCTTTCAAGAAGTGATAACTAATAACTGATTTTACTGTGTACCTTTGTAAAATATTAGCATCATTCATAGTAAGCAGTTAGGATTTAAGAGTATGGCAGGATGGTAAGTTATTATATGTCAGATCTCATTTTATTAGCCTGTTGAAATATGATTGCACTTTAAAAAGAATACATAATTATGACTAGCTCCTTTCTCTTTTCAGGACTTAATTTGTAATTATGGTTGGGTGTGTGCCCCTCTTTATGGATGGTTGGGTGTGTGCCCCTCTTTATGGTAACAGTGGTAGTTAAACATACTTAGTAATAAACATACATTTAACCAATAATTTG